AATTATTGTACATAAAAAATCGATTTGGGTGTTCTGTCTTGTTCATCGTGAAACACACACACACACACACGTTCCATCACTGCTATTGACTTTTTTTGCACATGCCTAATTTGCATCATGCCCATGTATCACTCGTCCCCTCTCTCTCGCTCCAGTCCCTTCACTCTTTCGAAGATTACATAGTATATACATATACACACGCTCACGCCATTGGTCATTTTGAGTTATCACTTTCGGAAAGTTTATGGGTAGCATTAATCTAGCGGTTTAGGTAGCTGACAGTAGTGCAAACGCTGGACTTTCATACGCGAGGTTTATATCTCCGTTTGACGGTAACTTAGCTCTCGGTTGGCTCATTGTCGTACCGATGTCCCTTTATGCCTTAGGTGGTCCATCATATATGGATCCAACTAAATAAGCTGTTACCCTGATTCCCTTGAACATAATCCGTTCCCTTCACAAGCAGTGCCAATCCTCATCATCATCATATATTCCCATGACACTGCGGTTTGAGGAACGGTAGAAAAACCCACGGTCACAGTTCACCTGTGGGAACCAGTGACTTTAAATAACACTCCAAAGAAAACATGATGATAACCCTGTCATTGCACAGGAGGACAACACAGCTGCCTCTCGCTAAAGTTGGAGGATAGTCGTGGCAGGGTTCAAAACTCGAACCCGTCGGTCCTAGTAGTTGTAACCGTACAGGATTTAACTCGGTACTGGATGTTCAAAAGGATCGTCTTCCGGTAATGTTTTCTCGTGCAGATAGGAACCCCACAAGTAGTGAAACAGAACACAGCTGGAAGCGTGTAGAAATTCATTTGTTTTGCAAAAACATGCTCATACATAGGAAAGAGCAGAGCAGGGGAATGCATACATCAAACGATTGGTTGACTGGATTGCTGTTAACCACATTGATTGATTGGTGGTTCCGGTCAAGCACTTGAGTTCGCCTTTCCTTGTGTTTGGCTGTCCTAGAACAAAACAGTTTTCAGGGAGCATACTGACTTCTTGACAATAGTGAACCAACATTAACGGCTTGGAGCACCTGAACACAATCCCCGTCACGATTATACAAAAAAATGCGTTCGGGAAGCAGTCAAATTCCAGTGTTTCAGTTAGTGATTGCTCAGTTATTCCAGCTTCCTATTTCGAGAGTTCTGCGTTGGTATCACGTGAATAAACTACATTATAGTCCCTCATTAAACTCCGAGTAGGGGTCAAGCCCTCCGTAATGAAACATATTGGATTCACTCTGATTCTGTTCGAAAGGCCGTATAATCTATAAATTTTTTATTTCGTTGGTCATTATCGTGAATCTACTGTACTCACAATAAAGGTGGTGGCGCAGTGGTTTAGTCGCTGTC